ACAGGCTTCAAGGTGTAGAAGTTGTATCGGTACTGCCATTATGCTGTACTTAGCTAAAAGGTTTTCATAATGAATGTTGAGGATTTGACCTCTGTTGCTGGATTTTCTTAACTGATCACGATAGGGCTTCGGTCAGAAAGCAGGCTGGTCATCAGGGTGTTTAAATGGTTTACTGAAGAATTACTGACAGGACGGTGCAAATAAATTGAAGCAGTTTCTGAAAATACAATAATAATACAGATTCAAATTACCATTTAAAAATTAACATCAGTGAGCAAACAAACTTTAAATATCAGCATTAATTCCTTTCTAAAGCACTGTTTAAATTTGAATGATGCAGAACAACACCTGGAATCAGTCTATTTCCAACTGCCCAAATCTCAAGACCAACAGCCAAATACAAAGATAGTTTCAACACTAAATTCCAACCATTAAGAGCAAAACAGACATTCATAAACTATAGAACACACTTGTAACTAAATAAGTGCTGTCAGAAGTGACAACCAACATCCACCTATTCATGACACATGACTAACACCACAACTTACATCGTCAATGACTGCGGCACCAGTCTCAACAGTAAACAACAAACAGATCAACTGAACGTCAAGAAGAAGAAATAAACGGAACAAACCTCCTTCCAATAAAGGGAACCACTTCAAAATAAAAGCATAGACATGAGTCATTGAAGTACTTGAAGAATTAATAACAATGAATGTGTTTATTATTGACTTTCTTTTTTTCATTCACTAAACACAAATCAGTAATATTTACACCAGCACACATTCCTTTGTTCTTATTGATCTTAAGACGGTTGAGCTGCAAATGCGGTGGTGCACAAGCTTTGATCCAAGCAAGGCTTTCCGTTTCAGATTTTGGAAATCTGTGAATTTTAGTTCCATAGATACGATCAGGATACCTGACATCGCCTGTACAGATTCCCCACTGACAGTGGAGAACCATTCTTTTTTAAGTCCTGACGCAAAAACTTTCTGCCGGTCTGCTAGTCCACAATGTACATTAGCATGTGTTAGCATGTGTCTACTACTGTAGCTTGTGTTTGTGAGACGGTCACGCACGTGGTAGCTGCGCTGTGACGTAAAATTGGCAATAGCCAATGAAACGCGGCCCCTGTGGTAAGGTCCATACAGCTTTAACATGTTAATCAGGGATTAATAACCTGTGTCTAAAAGATCATACATATCATCACTGTATAATGCAGGCCATCTCTTTCACTACTAATGCAGTTCCAATCAATGTTCCCACTAAACCTCCAGCAGCAGCTTTAGCAGCAGCTAGAGCTGCACTAATAAATGAGTTGTCTCTCTCTGCCTGTCTTTTTGCGTTTTCAGGAGTAATGTTTGGATTTTCTCTGATCAGTCGTTCCATTTCTTCTTGCTTAGCTCTCTGTGCCTTTTCAAACATTTCACTGGTGTAGTAACTCCTTCCATTTTCCTGAACCATTCTGTTGATCTTCTGCACCAGTCTCCTCACTTGAGCAGAATCTTCAACATTGTTGTCAAAGACATTTTTCTCTCAGCACATCTCCATGAGTAACCAGGACCATGGTGTATTTGGCTGCTTCTTCTCCAAACGTTTTCTGGATTATGTCCATAGATCTTGCTTCTTCTGCTGTGAATCTATTCGGTTGGAGAACAATCAGGAACACATGAGAACCAGGAGCCGCCAGGCTGATGCATTTAGTGATCTCTTTCACAACCTCTTCATTACTTTTATCTGTTCCAAACAGACCTGGAGTATCAATAACATCCAACTTTAGACCAACAAACTCACTGGTTTCCTTCTCACAGACTGATGTCACAGAAGAAAGAGAGAGACTAGAATCAAAAGCTTTCTTCCCTAAAATGGTGTTTCCTGTTGCACTTTTGCTGACTCCAGTTTTTCCAACCAGAACAATGCTGCGCTCTGGCTCCCCTTCAGCTGTTGACACATCCAGTCAGTTCAATTCAGTCACACAGGCAGATTCATGGTCAACAACATATGTTCAAATTTTATTCTAAAGTAAGGGAGTTTATTATTAAATTTTAAAAAACTTGACATTATTAGAGTAGAATTAAACTAATTGTCCCTCAATAGAAAAACACCAAATGTAGGTAATAAACTGAAGAAAGTTATTTCATTTTTATTGTTTCAAAGCTTTACTTATAACAACAAAAAGAAATAACAAAAATCAATAATCTCCCAGTTTATTCTGTTATATCACTCAAGCAATAATCAGAAATTTAAATGTAGTTTTCCTCCCTGGTTGTCTTGATGTCAAAGGCAAAGAAAATTATATAATCCAGCAGGTGATGATTTAGTCAATCAATAATTACTCAGAGATAAACGTCTAAAATCAGAAATAATGTTAAATTAACCATTTTTGTAGCTGCTGATACTGTGAGTTCAAAACTCTTGTATATTATTATTATTATTATTATTATTATTATTATTATTCAAGGTAACTGTCAGTTGAAGATGTGACTGAAGGAAGCAGGAATCAAAACAACAGCCTCACAAATCAGAGATGATGATGCTCAGCTGATCATATATTTCTTATTTAGTGACATAATCAATAGTCTGCATAGAACTGGTAAATATTTTGTTATTTATAAAAATCAGGGTTTAACCAACTGCATCCAAAACATCGCTCCCACCATTACTGTATAAAACATGTCTCATCTCTCCCTGCTCTTCCTGAACCTCCAGTATTCATGGGTGGATTTTCTCTGAACGGTCGTTTCATTTCTTCTTGTTTGGCTATCTGTGCCTCTCTAAACATTTCACTGGTGTAGAAACTTCCTCCATTTCCCTCAACCATTCTGTTGATCTTATCCATCAGTCCACTGACTTGAGCAGAATCCTCAACTTCGTTGTCAAAAACATGATATTTGTCTTCAAATTTCTGCAAGATGGAGCACTGACTGATGATAGGTCTTAGAGTCTGTCTTTTTTCTAATATGTCTTCTATTTTAACGTTTGCCTTTTTCAGCTCATCTCCATGAGTAAACAGGACCATGGTGAATCTGGCTGCTTCCTCTCCGAACACACTCTGAATTATTTCCACCGTTTTTTCATCTTCTGGTGTGAATCTATTCGGTTGGAGAACAATCAGGAACACATGAGGACCAGGAGCCGCCAGGCTGATGCATTTAACAATCTCTTTCTCAACCTCTTCATTAGTTTTTTCAGTCCCAAACAGACCTGGAGTGTCAATAACATCCAGATTTAAATCACGAAAATCATCAGTTTTCTTCTCACAGACTAATGTCACAGAGGAAAGAGAAAGATGAGACTCAAAAGCCCTTCTCCCTAATAAGATGTTTCCTGTTGCACTTTTGCCGACTCCAGATTTCCCAAGAAGGACAATCCTGAGCTCTGAATCCATTTTAGCTGTTGGAGAATTAGAAAAACAACAATAAACTGAAAATAATTTTTATTCATACAGATGCCAATTAAACAAATATGTTATGGTTAAATTTAACAATATGGAAGAAAATTAGGCAGATCACAGAATTCTAAGAACAATAATAAAAGGAAACAAAGAATAATATTTTTTTCTTTTAAACTTTGCTAATTGTCATTTTTCTAAAGAAAATGACATTCTTGTGAGATTCTGCCTGTTGGAACAATAAATTTAGCTGGATGATAAATTGTCACCAGAAGTCATTGCAATAAACAATAATGTTGTTTTGAGATAAGTGCAGCTATGAGTTGATACCAAAGCACCAGAATCAGAACTTTTATCATACAATATTTAGTACAAAGAGAGAGAAAAACAATAAATCATTGTTAAATGTATGCAATTAATTGATTTATTGATTAATGCCACAAACCTATTTGTAATCTTTGGTATGGTTCAGAAAACCAAGACATAAAGACATACACACAGAAAATAAGTACTTAAAATACATTATACAGTTCAGCAAATGAACAAGTAAATATTCTTTCATGAACATACGACAAATGGCTGATAAATCAACCTATATTTTATATGTTAGCTCTGAACTCTGTTATTCAGAAATTAAATTTTTTTCTTCTCGTGAGGTTATTTTGTTGATTTGAACAAATTATTGATATATTGATTTGATTGATTCATTGATTGATTTTCAATGTAACAACATTTAACAAACAAAATTAAGAACAAACTAGAAATAAGATGAGAAGCATAATTCTCATAATTAATTTATTATGTCTAATAGCCTTTTAATTCCACTCCATGTCAAAAGAAATTGCAGTGAACTAATTTTTCTTCATGATTTTTCAGCAGAGCTTTTAGTTCACTGAGCTAAACATTACATTTATGCACAAAAAGGAGAATGTGTCTATGAACTGAGAGATGATGGTTTGACATGGTTAATATAATAACCACAACCAGTAATAAACAAAAATGGTTTCTGAAAAGGGCAAACAATTGATTTTAACAGTTCAACAAACAAGCGAACTTCAAGTACCCATGACCTCAACCAGGTTGCAGTTTGGATCACCATGAATATTTATATTATATGCATAGGTATATAATATAAATTTATATATATCTGGTATGTCACATATCCTTTGACACACCAGAGGATATGTGTGTATCAGTAGCCTATAATGAAGAAAGCAACCATGTTTAAAAAAGATTCACACATAGTTGTTCTCTCATTAAGACCATATAGCCATAAAGGGCTCTTCATAAAAATAGTGCACCAAAGTATGAAAAACAGAGAATTTCACTTGTGTTATTTCTCTGAGTGCCAATTATCAGAGAAATCAATAATCAGTGAAATCAGGTTTTAATCAAATGGTCAGGTTTGCTTAAAACTATTTTAATAATTTCAGCACAGTAATGTCTCACTTGTATTATATCATAATAAAAACTTTACAGCTTTAACACCTTCAAAGTGTAACTTTATGTCAGTTAACATAACACAAAATTTGACTCCAAGCCCATTCATGGCATCATTTAAAAGCAGGAACTATAAAGGTACAAATTAATTCTTTTTGTAAACAAATCACATGTAACTATAATAATAATAGTAATAATTCTTATCATTATCATTGGTTATTGTTAATCTTATTTCTTTTATATATTGTTTGTAACACTAAGAACTTTTTGTGTGAATCTTTTTATCTGTTGCTGTTCTTACACCTAAATTATCCTTTTGCATGACAAGAAAGACAATTTCTATTCTATTCTATTCTCTTCTATTCTATAGGCTAATATTATTATACAGGTTTGACTGAATAAATTAAGTCTTATAATAATTTCACATGTTGAACATTTTTCCTATGTGTTCCCTGAAGAATCATCAAACCTGAACATATTGGAGTTAATCTGCTGATGTGACCTCGTTTGCTTTTTCACAGAGAATGTAAATGCCTCTCAGGTAACATGCGTCTTATGCATATTAACTGATACCAGATGAATTTACACCTATATGAAGCAAAAAAGGAGAAACTTTATTGTTTATGTCCAAATGATTTTTTTTTCCACATCATGTTAGTTGTGTTTTCTGTTACTTTATGAGACTGAAAGTGGTTCACTTTCATCATATAAGTTTAAACAAGTTTTCAAAAAAAAAAAGAAAGAAAAGCATTGGATTTAATGCTCTGTAGTTAAATAACTAAGCAGCAACCCTCCCGACCCCACTAAGAGACAAGGGTGTACAGAAAATAGATAGATAGATGGATAATTAAATAACACTTACTGTAGTAAGATTTCCATGAACCTCCACCTGTAGACGCCGTCTTGCCACTGTGTTTTACAAACATCACTGGGGGCATGCCAAATCTTAAAATTACAAAAAATAAATAAATAAAAAATAATAATAATAATGAAGAAACTACAGTCAATATTTATGAAACCTATAGATTAAAATCTGTTTTCAGAGAAGTTTGTCTGCTTGAAACAGTTAAAATAAACTATGTCTTTCTGCTGAATCAAAGTTTTAGTTTTAAATATTTCAGAAGAAAGTTAATTAGATAAAAATCCCAGAAATTACAACAATGTATTTAAGATATACAGGTTGACAAAAAGCAGGTTTATCATCTTCTGCTCAAACCTGCTGATGTTTGTTATTAGCATATTAAAACAAGTTGAAAGCCTTTTCTTAAAACATCATGACTGGTGTGGAAACACTTTAACATAAGTACAGTAAATGTGTTTGTGCTCTGAGCAATAAAACACTACTTTACGTTTTAGCTAAACCAACTTAAACTCTACTTTTAAATACAGAAAATTATAAAAGTTAATTGCTTCTCTAGAAGTTTTTGCATTAAAAAAGAGGATCCTGAATAATTATATTTATTCTAACCTGATTTACTCACTTCACAATAATATACATAAGTTTTATTTTAAAATTTGTTAAAGTTGACAATGAAACTGAAGCAATAACTGTTTTAGCTCAATTTCCACCCATAATTTATTCAGTGACATCTAACTTGATTCATCTCTTATCTAAACCAGTTGATGATGTTTAATATTCTGCAGCCCAGTTTGTAAACTCTGAGTGTTAATTTCCAAAGGGTCACAATAACAGAAACCCTATGTTATAAATGATCTGCCTGCAGTCATTGCCAATAAAGTAACAGTCAGAACATACTAACCCAGACTCTCTCTGATTATAACAACGTCCTCCTTCTGAGAGCGATTCTATTTTATCCAGCAGATCCTGGACCTGCTTCCTGTTTTCCATCCTCTGGTTGTTGAACACATGATACATCCCACTGCAGCTCTTCAGCAGTTTCTGCAAGTTTTCATCTCTTTGTACAAACTGATGAACATTAATGCCTGTTTCTTTCTCCAGTCGGTCTCCGTAGGTGAACAGGATCATGGTGAACTTGGAAACCTCTGGACCCAGAATCTCCTGCAGCTTCTTCAATCCTCTCTTCTCCTGTTCAGTGAATCTTCCCAGCTGGATGGTGAGCAGAAAAACATGAGGACCAGGAGAGCTCAGCTCCACAGCTCTCTGGATCTCAGCTTTCACTTCTTCTGGAGGAAGAACAGAGCTGGAGAGTCCAGGAGTGTCAATCACAGAGACTTTATGAGAGAAAACTTCTCCTTCTGCCTTCTTGCTGCTCCGAGTCAGAGGAACCAGACTGAGTTCAGAGTTAAACTCCTCCTTTCCCAGGATGGTGTTTCCTGCTGAGCTCTTCCCGACTCTTTCCTGACCCACCAGCACCAGTCTGAGGTCTGAAAACAACACAGCAGTTCAGGAGATAGCAGAGCAACATTTGGCTTCTGACAGTATTATAGGTAACAAACATTAGGCATTATATTTAATATTTAACACCCTTAGAATGTTACGTCTTTTCAGTCATTCTCCTGTTTGTGAAGTAACATAGTAATGATGTATGTTTTTCTTGTTTACACACATTTGAATGAATTTAGCTACATAATGCATCAATTCTGAAAGCACTGAGTTTTCATGTTTGTTAGATAGTTTATTTATAAAGCTCTTTAAAAACAAATATTAACTGCACTAAAGTGTTGCACAGTATTCCTAAAACCACAGATAAATACACATAAGGATAAAACAAATTAAAACAGACGGGGTAAGTAAATTACAATGTCAGGCCTTATGGAAAAGCCTTAAAATGTAGTTTTAAGGAGTGATTCTTAAGTTGTTCACACTTTGGTTTAACATGATCAAAATGGGGGTGCTTTAAAGATTGCAGTATTAGATCTGCCCAAATTATGGGCAGATCTAATACTGAAGGGTAAGTTGATCCACAAATAAGGAACAGTGACAGCGAATGTCTCCTCTGCTTTCAGTCTGGTTCTGGGAATATGTAATAGCAGTTTATTATTTGACCAAAGTTAAAGTTGTGAAGAAAGTCCTGGAGCTGGGGCAAAGTCATCTATAATTTTAAAAAACAGATAGGGGGAGGCACTATCTGCTCCCCCTATCTGCCCTTCAGACAGGGCCTACCAGTCTGAAGCTGTATACCATACAGCTAAAATTTTACCATTCATTTATTGAGAATGGCAATGCTATTAACTTTTATTTAATGCTTTCAGCAGAAATAAAATAAAAAAATAAATAGTGCATTTAGGATTTAATTAGGAAGTTTACTTTGTATAAGTGAAGAATCATCTTGATAGTTTGATTGTTGTGTTTTCATGGCTACAATATGGTGCAATCTGCAATCTTTGTGTTTGAGCTCAGTTTGTCCATGTATACATCACAGTAAATAATAACCAATAATTAGTGATTGGTTTTAAACTCGGCCTATTAAGCTGGGCTATAATTGATGAAGATCTGACATGGAAACCTCACATAAATTATTTAAGAACAAAAATGGCTAAATCTGTTGCAGTACTGTATAAAGTAAGAGACTTTAATGATAAAGCTCAGTATATATTGTATAATGCAATAATTGTTCCACACTTGATCTACAGTATTGAAGTCTGGGGTGAAACATGCAAAACATTTACAAATCCTATTTTTGTTTTAAAGAAAATAGCTGTAAGAATTACTACTACACATTACAATATAGTAATATATTTGATTTATCTCAAATACATTATTTTATCAATTGAAAATATTGAAATAGCATAAAATAAATATAAATAGATGCTAATGGGATTTTTTCACAGTAACTCAAAACTATGGACAAAATAAAACCAGCGAAAAACTCTGGAAGTTCAATTATTTTATAGTTCTAAACTTGTTCAGTAATACTTATTTTATTTTCTTCATATAGCAGACACTGTCATGTTGAAGTCTGTTAAAGTGGCAATAATAATTAATAATTTTGATTTGTGGCCATATGCCCAGTCCTACCTGCAGCAGCAGCTCTAAGCGGTCGTCCCATTTCTTCTTGTTTGGCTCTTTCTGCCATTTCGTTCGTGTAGAAACTTCCTCCATTTTTTTTTACCATTCTGTTGATCTTCTGCAGCAGTCTGCTGACTTCAACAGAATCCTCAACTTCATTGTCAAAGACATGATATTTATCTTCAAATTTCTCCAAGATGCAGCACTGATTGATGATCTGTTTTAGAGGTTTGTGGTTTTCTAACATGTCTTCTATGTTAATGTTTCTCCTTTTCAGCTCGTCTCCATGGGTAAACAGGACCATGGTGTATTTGGCTGCTTCTTCACCAAACATTGTCTTAATTATTTCCACCGTATTTTCATCTTCTAGTGTGAATCTATTCAGTTGGAGAACAATCAGGAACACATGAGGACCAGGAGCCGCCAGGCTGATGCCTTTAACAATCTCTTTCTCAACCTCTTCATTATTTTTTTCAGTCCCAAACAGACCTGGAGTGTCAATAACATCCAGATTTAAATCACGAAACTCATCAGTTTTCTTCTCACAGACTAATGTCACAGAGGAAAGAGAAGGATGAGACTCAAAAGCTTTTCTCCCTAAGATGGTGTTTCCTGCTGCACTTTTGCCGACTCCAGATTTCCCAAGAAGAACGATCCTGAGGTTGTTTTTTTCTGCAGCTGCTGGAAAATGAAACAAAACATTTACATCAGAACAAATTTTATTCAGATAGATGTCAGTTAGAAAATGATTTCCTAAAGTTTGATTTATTCATTTATTAATGCCACACCACTTGCTCGGCTTGAAGGAGCTCATTGCTTTGAAAAGCAACATGAAAACGTTTGTCTACTCTGTGTCACCGACGCTGGTGAACATGATGGTAATAATGAGGCCTTCACTGTTGGTAATGCTACTACTGCATGTAGTGATTGTGCTGAGTTTTTACCCAATCTTCTTAGCAATGCTGCTGGGTCAAAACATACAGAGCTGCTCGACATTCAAAACCATTTACCATAATTTCTGTCCAATGGGAGCCACAATCGTCACCTGCATGTCTTTGTTTACAAATTATAGTCCACTAGCAAAAAAACACAACATGAAAGCAAAATGCACCAAACAGAAAAAATACAGTCCCTTTTCCAGACCAAAGGATTTTCCCGGTGTGAATAAACGCTAAATCAAAGCTTAAACCCCATCTCTTTAGAGTTGCCTTCGATTAATAACTACAACATTTATTAATTCTAGTCTGAATTACGACTTTTCAATACTTCCCTTTATTTTTCCACTGCAACATAACACAGTGTGTTTTTTGTCTAATCTTTTCATCATATAAAGCACAATGAATATCCTTGTGATATATAAATAATCTTGACTTTTTTGACAGTTATTTGAGTTTTGCCCAGAAAACCTGCTAAGCCCGGCGGTTGGGGCGCTGGGACAGTCCACCAGCAGCTCACCGTGTTTTTTTTTTTGAGTTGCAAAAGTTCTGAGGTGCTGGACCAGACATGCTACACTGAAATCAGTATTTATTTTATTTCAGTAATAAGGCAAGTCAAAGTACCATTTTCTAGTACAACTGCGATGTTCCTGTACTCTTGTTTTATGTTTAAAAAAGAAAAAAGAAAAGCAGTTGCATTTTGCTCCATTTACTTACCACAAACAGTGAGTGTTGGTGTCACAGCCATTGAAGCAGCACATCCAGAAAACAGCAGCTTACAGCTTCAACATTTAAAAATCCACCGGGATTCGTTATGATGCCATCTGTGATGAAAAACATGACTTTAATGGAACCGGTTCTCCATATATGCTGTCATCACAGAATGCCTTTTTGATGACCACACTGTGTGCTCAATAATACATTTAATTTTGTTTAATTCATACTAGGCTACATACATATACACACATACATTTCTCCACCAGCAAGAAGTGATCACATATCTCATATAAATATTTCCTCGTAACACATATGTGGAAGGTGGTTTCCTCCACATATGTCTATTGGGGTCAGCAAACCCCAACAGACAGAATGATGTCTTATGGACATCATTCTGTCCTCGTCTCATGATGGGAAGTGACCCATGAACTTTACCTTCTGACATGGTATGTCAAAAGGTAAAGTAGGTAAAGAATAAAGGTGACTAATATATGTCACCTTTATTCTGAAACCTGACTCTTCAGTGGATGACATAAAATAATGCCAAACATTTTTCAATGAATGTAAATTTGTTTCACAATTATTCAATCAAATAAAAACTAATCTAATTTTTTTTTTTTTTTTTAAAGTGGTCAAAACTTTTGGAATTGTAATGAATTTTGTTTAAACGAAAAGCTTTGTTTAAATTTTTCTTTTAATCACTAATTTTTATATCACGAAGTGGAAAAAAATAATTTGCATAACAAACTTTTATTTGCGCATGTCAGAAATGTTTGGTTGATACTTTCAAACTCTTAGTTTTGATGCTCCCTTTTTTGGTTGAACTCAAAGACTAACTGCCTTCTGCTCAGAACTGAACCTTCATTTTGAAACGGAGGAGTTTTGGTGAAAACACCTTTACCCAAAGCATTAAAAGTAGAAACACTTTTTCGGCCGTTCCTATTAATAAACCCGTCTCTAAACATTCCCCACTGGCGTTAGCAGAGATTTTTAGTCTCGCCAACATTGATACCCAATGATGGGAAGTAACAAAGTACAAGAACTT